CTGCGTCTCGCTCGCGGCCCCCGTGCCTTTCCCCACCGTTTCTTTCTTTCTCCGTGAAGTCTCGCTCTCTCTGGGTGTCTCTCTCTTTCTGTGTCTCTCGCTCTGCGATTCGGTCCCTTCCGGCCTCCCAGATTCTCTCTCTCTGTCTGTCCCTCCGTGACTCAGTCTCCCAGTCTTGCTCGGACTCGGGCCTCCCCTTCGCGCCCCCGGTCTCTGTCTCAGCCTCTCCCTGTCTCCATTTTTTGGTCTCTTTCCACGAGGCACTGCGGTGCGGTGGTCAGGGCCGGACGGCCTGCCTTTGAACACACTGCTGGCTGCGTGACCTTGGGCAAGTCTTCTAACCTCTCTGTTCCTCAGTCGCCCCGTCTGCAGAAGGGAGACCGTAACAGCCCCTCCCTCCTAGGGTACGCTTGGGCGGACGGTGGGTGGCGGGTGGGTGGAGGATGGACGGGCGGGTGGACGTCATCCAGTGGAGGCCTTATCAGCGCCCGCACCAGGCGAGGCTCACTGACCCCTGCTCCTGTCATTCCTGACCTCTGAGAGGCTCCCCCAGTAGCGCCCCTGCCTCGGTCTCCCATTTCTGAGTGTCTCTGGGGGCCCGGTCTCTGTGGACAGTCCTCCGTCCCTCTGTCCACCTTCACCTGCGACGGCAGGGCTCTCACCGAGAGGTGCTGGAACAGCCAGGCCCTCATGATGTTGGTGGCCACCTTGGGGAAGATCCCCCTCTTCTTGTTCCGCCGCCGCTCCTGGTCCAACTCTTCGTCCTCTCCTCCAGAACTGGGAGAGGCCACACTTGTGTCCAGCCCATCTCCTGAGGGGACACAGGCACGCCGTGTTTGCGAACGGTGAAGAACGGGATGGCAGAGGGCCCCAGAACCCTCACCCAAGACGCCACACCGCACCCCAGCTGTCCTCGTCCTCCGGAAGTCCTACTTGTGATCTAACTCCAATCTGCTGACCAATTCCCATGTTTCCCTTCCACGTCCCAAGCTTCTCACCTGGGTCACTGGAGTTGTCCCCACTCTGGGAGGCCAGGCCCCCGCTGGATGGACCCGGGGTCGCCAAATGTACAGACCCGCTGTCCTCATGGTCTCGAATCCATGTATTATTCTAGAAAACAAGAGCTGGGAGTTAGTGCCAAGGCTTGGGACACAGTATAGCACTGTGGTTAAGAGACGGGGAAGCCAGTCTCTGCCTCTTTTCTGGCTGTGTGATCCTGGGCAAATCACCTTCCTGTACCTCAGTTTCCTCAACCTGCAAACAGAGGACAATAACAGTCCCCATTTGACAGTGTCGTAAGGAGACATTGAGTTCATTTAGGCAGGTAACAACTCAATAAAGATGAGCAGACACAGGTCGGCAGCACCTGGAATGGCTGGAGCCTGGGGTGTTTCGGAATCCAGAACTTTGCACTTTTTTTTTTTTTTTTTGGAGTCGGAGTCTCACTCTGTCGCCCAGGCTGGAGTGCAGTGGTATGCCCACGGCCACTGCAGTCTTGACCTGTTGGGCTCAGGCAATCCTTCTGCCTCAGTCTTCCCAGTAGCTGGAACTACAGGCGAGCACCACCACGCCCAGCTAATTTTTTGATTGATTGTAGAGACAAGGTCTCACCAAGTTGCCCAGGCTGGTCTCGAACCCCCGAACTCAGGCAATCCTCTCACCTAGGCCTCCCAAAGTGCTGGGATGACAGGCTTGAGTCACTGCACCCAGCCCACTTTGCACCTTTTTAGGCATCCGTCAGCACAAACACCAGGCCGTTCATGCCCCACCCGCAGCAGGCCCTGGGCCACCACCTCATCGGGCTCGCTCATTAACATGTCTACAGCAACTCGGATGAATATTTAACTAACTGGAATAAATATGCGCTATAAATAGCCTCTCATTAGTTCAGGTCAGATTTTGCTGCCAAATGAGTTTCACTACATTTCTGGACAAAACCCAAAACGCTGAGTGCTCAGGGATTTGTGAGGTCTCAGAATTGGAGGCGAGGGAGGCCAGGAATGGATTCCCTCTACCGACTGACTCACTTTGAGGAACTTGCCAATGCTTCGGACCCCCATGCCCGGGCTCTGGGCCCCAGGACGCCCACCCACCCACCCATGGGGGCCGCACTGGGGCCTCTTGGGGCTCCATCTGCCAGGTGGCTGTCGACCGGTTGGGTCCTTCTACCAAGGGTGGTCTCACCACTGTGGAACCTTCTTCCCCTCTCTCTGGTCCTGGAGAGCCTCTCCCACCCTTCAGACCCAGGGTGGACCAGCTAGCTACCTGTGTCACTCTACCCCATCACCCTCCTGCCCGTGGTGACCGCCTCCATTCCAGCCCACCACTTTGTCAATAGACACTGCCCAAGTCACCCAGCGTGGGTGCGTGTGCATCTCCGGCCGGGGCTCAGAGAGGCTCTCGCAGGGATCCGGGTGTCCACGTGGAGTTGTGTGTCTGAATGTGTTTGGGGAGGAGTTGTGTACTGTGAGTCACCCCCATCGGAGGCCTGCGGTGCTCACAGTGCTGGCCCGTCCGAGACTGGGGTGTGTGTCCCCAAGTCCATGTGCCTGGTGTGCTTCTGAAATTCTCGTGCGGCGCACATGAATGTGACCCAGGCGGGTGTGAGTGTGCCAAGGATCCCAGGGTGGCACAGCTGTCCCCAGAGAGCACGCACTACAGTGTGGTTGTCACGGGCATAGCTGGGGGGCGCTGTGACATTGGAGAGTGCCTTCGCCATGCCTGTGTGGCTGTGTCTCACTCCGACGATCACAAGGCCACATGTTTCTTTTGTAAAAATTCTTGTTTTTGTTCTTTGTTTTTTTGGTAGAGACGGGGTCTCACTATGTTGCCCAGGCTGATCTTGAACTCCTGAGCTCAGGTGATTCTCCAACCTTGGCCTCCCTCCCAAAGTGCTAGGATTACAGGTGTGAGCCACCGTGCCAGGCCTTCAAGTGGGGTTTTCTCTGCATCTGTGTGGCGCATCTGGGGCTGCTGGGCTCTGTCTCACTCTGCATGGCTGTTGTGTGGTTAGACAAACACACACACACACACATACACATAAGAATAGTCATGCTTGGCCAGGCATGGTGGCTCCAGCCTGTAATTCCAGCACTTTGGGAGGAGGAAGGATCGCCTGGGCCCAGTAGGTCAAGGCTGCAGTGGTCATGAGCGTGCCACTGCACTCCAGTCTGGGTGACAGAGTGAGACTCCGACTTAAAAAAAAAAATAGCCATGCTGAGCCTGGTTACACGGCTGATGCTGCTGTTGTGGCGGGACGTGGTGTCTGAGTGTGTGGTGCGTGTCTGGCTGTGGGGGGAATGGCTGTCTTGAGTTTCTGTGGCTGTGTGAGACTCATGGGGGTGTGGAGTCTCTGGTGGTGTCTGTGGCTGTCGGGGTGTGCATGTGCGTACGTGCACCCTCACGCTGTGTCCCAGCAGGGCTCGGGCAGCAGGGTGATGCCTGGTGCCCTCGGGCCCACCTGGTCTGGGAGGCTGGGGCAGGAGGCTGGGAAGTCCTCGAGGTCCTCCCTGCAGCCGCAGTCCCGATCCTCGATGACCAGGTCGATGGGCATCTTTCCCTTGAGGCAGGTGATGTAGCGGTGACAGAAGTTGTCGCACAGGTCGTGGACCTGGGGGGGCACCGGGGTAC